TTTTTTGTAGACAACTCCGGATTGGAGCTTTGGTGATTCTGATAGCTCCGTATGGTGATTTTGGACTTAGAAGTATGTCTGGATATTGATTTGGAGGTCTGTAGGTCGTTTTGGCTTGAATTGGCGAAAGTTGAAGGTTTGGAAGGTTGATAGGTTTGACCAAGAGTTGACTTTATTGATATCGTGTCTGGATTTTGGTTCCGAGAGTTGGTATAGGTACGTTGTCTCATTTGGGACTAGTGTGCAAAATTTGAACTCATTCGAAGTTTGTTTGATATGAATCGGCGTTAGTTTTAGAAGTTGAATGTTCATGGATTCAATAGGTTTGGATTAGGGTAAGATTCATAGATTTGATGTTGTTTGATGTGGGTTTAGGCCTCGATTAGGTCCGTTATGTGTTTTGGGACTTGATGGTATGTTCGGACAAGGTCCCGGGAGCCTCGGGCGTGATTCGGGTCCATTTTGAACTTAGGAGGAATTGCTATTGAACAACTGAGTTTTGGTGTCATCGCACCTGCGATGGGCTTGGCCGTAGTTGCGGAGCCGCAGGTGCGACTGGGGAATCGCAGAAGCAGTGGAGGCTGGCCATGGGGAAAGTAGTAGGTGCGGTCAGGCTCCTCATCTACGAATGCGCAGATGCACTCTTGGTCCACGGAATTGGAAGCGCAGGTGCACTGTTTGTGCCGCAGAAGCGGATTGTCCCTGAGTTTAGTTGAGGCCGCACCAGCGATAGATTTTAAGCAGGTGAGGAGTCGCAAATGCAATAGAGAGGCCGTAGAAGCGGATATCTCTTCTTGCTGCCTTTCTTTTATTTGTTTAACTGTTAGAAAGGTATTTTAAAGAAGCTTATTCTGAACTAAGGTGTTTTTATGAGTTTTCACTATTTTGTTGCACTTTATTGGTTTTATTCTGCCTCTTTATAGCATGTTGTTGTGATTCTTCGTGATTTCTTATCGCTCAATTTTCATTTATTGTTGTTACTCACTGAGTTGGAGTACTTACTTTACTCCCTGCACCCTGTGTGCAGATTCAGGCGCTTCAGGTCCTGCTAGTGAGGGTTGATAGCTTCCAGCAGATCTCCGGAGTCCACTAGGTAGCTGCTCGGCATTCGCAACCTAGTGTTTCTCCCTCTTATCATTATTTCTTTCCCTCGTACTGGATTTTTGTAATAGACTGTGTAGTCCCTTTTCTACGTTTCCAGACTTATGTTAGATGCTCATGACTGGTGACACCCCGATGTCGGGCCGTGTTGGTTGTTTTTTCGCAAATTGTACTAGTTCACTTATATTTTGGGATTATTAGCATGTTAATTACTTAAATTGTGTTATTATAATTCTTTAATGTGAATTGAGAGTTGTGTCGGCTGGCCTTGTCTTCACGAGAGGCGCCATCACGACCGGGCCTGGTTTTAGGGTCGTGACATGAATTGATGTCGGAAATGATAATTTTGGTATGGTTGAACTCGTGTCGGAATGGGTATTCGGATTTTGTTAATGTTCATCGGGTTCCGAGGTGCGGGCCCGGGGGGTTGACTTTTTAGTTTTTGTTAAATATTAAAGCTTTATTATCCGAAATTATTTCCTATGAGTTTTATTTATGATTTGAAGTTATTTTGGCTATATTTGAGTCGTCCGGAAGTTATTTCACTCGAGAAGGTCATTTTAGAGTATCGCTCTAGCTTATTTGAGGTAAGTATCTTGCCTAACTTTGTGTGGGGGAACTACCCCTGAAGATTTAAGTCATTTGTGCTAATTGTGTCCATGTACGCGAGGTGACGAGTACGTGCTCGGGCTTATTTGTGGAAATTTGACCGTTTAGGGCTCTTAGGTTCTTGTGTTCATTAGATATGAAGTTGTTTTGTCATTAAATCCTCCATTTACTAGTTTCACCTTTACGTGTCTTAATTGAAATTAATTGCTTCATGTTCCACCCCATTGCCGATTAAACTCTTGTGTGCCTTAACTGAAGTTGTTGCCTCTTCTATGGCTATGCTATCCTTCCCTAATTACTTATCCTTAATTGAAGTTATTATTATATTTTTCGTAATTTGTCTATCCTTACTTGAAGTTATTATTATCTTTTTCGTAATTACTTATCCTTAATTGAATTTGTTGTATCACTTTTGTGATTGCTTAACCTGAAATGAAATTTGTTATCCCTTATCATTGTTGACATATCCTTGTTTAAAATTATTGATTCGTGTTATCTCTCTTATCATAAAATTGTACTTTTGCGTAATCATTGCTACACATTATCTCTTCCTTGTTGACCTATTCTTGTTGAGACTATTATTCCATGTTGTGTCCTTCTTTGTGAGCTCGTTCTTCCGTCTCTTTGTGTTATGAAGTTCTTGAGTTGATTTACTTGCCGTATTCTCGTGTTATTGTCGTTGTCGCTATTGTATTCAGTGTTGTTGAGCCGAGCGCTATACGTGGTTGTGACATTGAAACTGTTTTGGGGAAATATTGTGACATGTAAGCACATATTGTGAAAGTCATTTATTTGAGTTGTTGTGTTTTGTCACACGTGTTTTTGTTGAGAGAATTGTTATTGTGATGGCACGAGGTTTCTGTCGTGTTGTTGTTATTATTGATACGAATGCGGTGGTATAAGGTCTGGGTATTGAAACGCATACGGTGAGATAAGGTGGGCTTGAAACGTGTGGCTAGTAGGGGAACTACTAGAAGCCACGCGGTGTGATAAGGTTGGCTAAAACGCGGGATGCTATTTTGGGAAAAAAATATTTTTCAAAACTAAATATAAAGACTCTTGCGCTGAAATAAGGAAAGTTTTGATTCATTTTATGATTTGAGATTACGAAGTAGTGATAAGTAGGGATTTTGACAACTTATTAGCGCCTTTTAGCTTTTATTTTAGTCTAAAAGCATTGGATTGTGTTCTCGAAACTAATGAAATGTGCAAAATTGCAGGAATGTTGGAAGTTGGACTCCCGAAATGAAATCCGACTAAAAAAGGAGTAATCTAAACACGAGGCAATAAAACGCACAGAAGCTCAAAAAGTGTGGACCGCAAAATTTCATCTGCGGCCGCAGATGATGAAGGAAAGCCTAGCATACTTTCTAGCAAACTGCGGACCGCACAAGAATTGTTCGGCCGCAAAAGATGATCTTGAGATCAACTTCAGAGAGTGCAAATCCCAAGTTCCAAAGTCCCTCATAATTACGGACCGCACAAGAATTGTGCGGCCGCAGAAGAAGTGCCTTGCAGTCGCAGAAGTAAAGGTGCGGACCGCAGAAGATTGAGTTGCGTCCGTAGTGCTAAATCCGCGGACCGCAAAAATGTTGCCTCGCAGCCGCAATTAAGAATTGTGCGGCCGCAGACCTCCACCTCCTGACAAGATAAAGAAACCCACAGACCACACATGGAATTGTGCGGCCGCAGAACCTCCCGAGAGGCATTTTTGTCCGAAATTATCAGCTTTGTATTCATTACCAGCTTAGTGAATCTTTAACTATTTACATGAAATATACCAAGCAAGGCTACTGTGATGAGCCACTGACTTTTATTTATGTTTTTCTCACATACAAAGATAAGAATTTTGCACACAACGTGCTCACCCTTAAAAAAAATGAGACATTGGTGTTTTGGAAATCAGTGTTCTTGGTGTTCTTCACTATCTTCATGTGTGTTCTCGTTCCAACCAAGATTTTAATTCAAACTTTTAAGAGAAACTCCTTCAAATTTGCTATAACTTCAGCTAAAGATTCCCCACGACGACCTGAAGGCAACCAAACATTAGTTTCACAAACTTTCATCAAATCAAGTAACCCATTTTAAACCCATTTCACGAACTTAGCCCATATTTAACGAATTTTCATTGATTTTACATTGCGAATCAGAACAGTTTTCAGCTAATTAATTTCAATGCAAAAGATATTTTCTGAGTAGGTACTACAATTTTCGGAAGTAGACCCAATTGATTAAGCTCCAATTTCTACTAAATATGACTTATATAATGCAAGCCTTGAAAGTTATGGAAGATAGTGATGCTTCATTAAGTTTATTTCAACGGAAATAGAGAGATCCCGACTATAAGCCCGATGATGATAGTGTGGTGTTCGATAAATTGAATCAAAACAGAGATTTTGTTGGAATCAAAACAGAGATTTAACCATTTGATGCTAGTATTTAGAGAATTTCTATTATGCTCGGATAAAGGAGAAACTATTGAGCTAAATCAATGGTGGAGGCACAACAATGGTGAAAGCGAAAGAGGCAATGGTGGAAATGGTAGTGGACATAAAGAAGAAGAAAGAAGAAAATAAAAAAGAAATTTGCTTTTTGGGCTCTTCACGTGCCTATATTGGGTGAAACTCACTCTATGTGCCAACACTAAGAAGTGTCTAATTGGAACAAAGTTCATGTAATGTACCTGCTCATTAGGAACACCTCTAAGTTCAGGTATCTAAATGAAAAATCATGCCAACACTTTTAATTTAACAAGTTTTACGCTAATTGCCAACTTGTCGTAATTTTCCTCCTTTATTTGAGTTTCAAAGCGATAATGTAAGGAAACCGACACATGCAAAATTATTCAGGAAGAAAAATGACAACTATAGAATAATCAATGAAGTAAATCAAACAAAAACATGAAATTTAAAATTTTAAAAAAAAGGTGAACAAATCTACAACCCAAAAGGACCCTTTGAAATTTGCCTAACCAAAAAGGTTAATCATATTTTTTCCTCTCTCTTCTCACGCCTTCCATGCAGCATGTGCTTTGTCTCTACATGCACACATAAAGTACTCAACCATCCATGGATGGATGCACCTTCCAAATCCCACATCCCATACCACCCCCTACTCCCTACCCCGTTCCCTAGCTTGTTCATATATAAAAAAGAAAAAGGCAAAATAAAACCCACCCCATGCATCATTATACCTTTGGACAGAGGAGAGAGAAACTTTGACACTGTGATCAGCTGTACTTTTTCCCCCTATTTTCTTTTCTTTTTCTCCTCTCCTTAGCACACAGAGAAAAAGTAGCAAAAGGGGTTGGTTGGGTGAGAGAAAGTGTATAGGGGGTCTCAAAAAGCTACCCACATTTGTTGCCAAAAACTGCACCTGTTGTTCTGTTTCTGAAAAAAACAGCCTACTGTTTTCCATTTATTCTCTCTTCAATCTTTTCACTGTTTCAGTTCTTTTGTGTGTACTTTTTTAGTCTGTGTACCTATACACCAACCCAATAGGATAGTAGTAGTATTTTTGATTTAAAGAAAAAATTGAATCTTGGAATTATATCCTATTGATACACAGTTGTATCATGTACAGTAGTATTACAGTATCATGTATAATACAGTCTCTCTAGACAGAGTATTATTTAACTTTTGGTTTCTTGTGTGTTTTTCTTTTTCTCTTGTCCTGTGTGTAGACAAAATACTTTAATCTCTCTCTCTCTATAAACATTGCTGTGTTAAGATAAAGACCTCTCTTCACTGGGGTTTTCTTGTAAAAACAAATCTCAAGAATAAGAGCAAGAGTTGGAGATAGGGAGAGTGAAAAAAGAGGAGTGTTGATGAGTGAAAGAGGAGGCTCTCTTAGAGGAGAGAGAGCCTGCCTGTTCATGCAAGAACAAAAACATCTGAGTTTGTGTTGTTGTTGAAAGAGAAAGAAAGCAGTGATATTGTGAATGGCCTTGTGCTTGCATAACAAGAATCAGATAATGGATAACAGCAAGTATGTGAGGTACACACCAGAACAAGTGGAAGCTTTGGAGAGAGTGTATGCAGAATGTCCAAAGCCTACTTCTTTGAGGAGGCAACAGCTCATTAGGGAGTGTCCCATTCTCTCTAATATTGAACCTAAACAGATCAAAGTCTGGTTTCAGAACCGAAGGTATTCTTATCTAGCATATACACAGACCTTCCCTCAATTCTTTTCATTTTCTTCTATGAACCAATGTGTTTTGTGTGTTCTTTTAAGAGAAAAAACTATACTTTTATCATACTAAATGGATTTGATAAAACATTCACTTTCAGATTGCATTTTAAAATTTGTAAAGGATTTTTATGTTTGGAAATACTCATTCTTTTCATTTTCTTCTCTTTTTAGGACTTAGATGGTTTTTCTCTATCTTTTTTTGAAGAAAAAAATTGTATTTTCAGACCTTTGTTCTTTAAATATATGGAAAAAATGTGAAAGAATCAGCTTTTAATGTCCTTCATTTCATCCTTTTATTTTAACAAGGATCTGTAAATAGTATACTAGATGTAAACCCTTTTTTAGGAGGTAAATTCTAGTCATTTGTTGACTTCTATTAATTGTGGATGCAGAATTTCTCCAGAAAAAGTGTAACTTTCTACATTTAGTTCTCATTTTTGGCAAGCTAAATGCTCAGAGATTTTGTGCATTTGGGTTGGTTGTGGTCATACGATCTTTTAGTTGTTTATTAATGGAATGACAAGAAAATGGAGAATGTGATATTTTAGGAATTTTCTGACTTTTCCTGAAAATGGTGTTCCTTGTCTATGAGCTCCCCTATAGATACTTCTATTTTCTTTTTATAAAACAAGAACTACACAATATTGATTTTTGTTCTTTTCTTTTGTCTTGTTCATATTTATTTTTTAACTCTGATGGTATCTTTTTACTCAGCAAAATATGGTTTCAGTCAATGAGCATTTTCACTGTATAGACTTTTTAAATCGTTGTTAGATTCAAAGATTGGTCCAGTTTTAAGATGCTGAAATGCCTGTTTTTTGCCCATTTATTTCTTCTTTGTTTCCTGTTATTGGAGTAGACATACTCCACTTATTATTACTTGTTAAGTATTCTGCTTGCATTTTTTCTATAATTAAAGAATCTGTTTTCTGAGTCTCTTCGATCAGCTTGACTGGATATTGAAGTGAAATGCTATATCCATTTTAAGATTTTATTCTCCCGGCTCTCCTGAATGTGAAACATCAGACCCATTGTATCTGCTTTGATCGGATATTTTTGCTTCAATTTGGTGGATTTGTATCAACAATCGTCTTCTCTTCAAATTTAAACTCATGTCAGAATTACTTTGCAGTCACTCGTTGGCAGAATTGGAAATTATTTTGAGTACTTCCATTTTCAGAATACTGTCTGAAGGTTTTTTATTTAGAGCATGTGAATATGTCAACTCTCAGCAGTTAAAACATAGGAAGGAATTTAACCTAGTCTTCGGGAGAATCACTGTTTTATAACCTTTGTAGATGCCGTGAAAAACAGAGGAAGGAAGCATCTCGTCTCACGACTGTTAACAGGAAGCTGAGTGCTATGAACAAGCTGTTGATGGAAGAAAATGACCGGTTGCAGAAGCAAGTCTCACAGCTTGTGTATGAGAATGGCTACATGAAACAACAAATCAATACTGTGAGTTGTGTACTTGCTTTACAAGCTTGGTAATCCTTGGAGATTCCAGTTCTTTTTCTCTAAATGAGCAAATTGGTCTTCTTTGATTAATAGAACTCAAATAAATCATGTAGGTTTTCAACCCATATCTCAGTTTTTCTATGTTTAAATTATTTTTGCTGAAGCTTTGCACGAGCTGCATTTAACCTTTTCTGTCTTATTTTATCATTACATGAAGAAATTCCTGTAACTTAATCCTCTAGTATCTGCTTCTTTGGTACAATGAAACTGAAGATGATTATCGTAGCAGGTTAGCAGCACGACCACAGATACAAGCTGTGAATCTGTGGTCGTGAATGGTCAGCAGCAAAGAAAAAACCCAACACCTCAGCATCCAGAAAGGGATGCGAATAACCCAGCTGGGTAATCTAATTTGTTCTTTTTTAAACATCTACACCGATATTTTCCTGTTGAGAAAACTAATAGTAAACATTTTTGCATGTATTTTCAGTCTTCTTGCAATAGCTGAGGAGACCCTGGCAGAGTTCCTTGGAAAGGCTACTGGAACTGCTGTCGACTGGGTGCAGATGATTGGGATGAAGGTAATTCTTTTTGTTGTTGTGCGTCTCTAGTTTCTGACTTGTTCATTACATGTTCAATTGTTAACTTTTGCCCCCTCATTCGACTTTCCAACTTAGCCTGGTCCGGATTCTATTGGTATTGTTGCTGTTTCCCGCAACTGCAGTGGGGTAGCAGCACGTGCCTGCGGCCTCGTGAGTCTAGAGCCCACGAAGGTACTTCAGTTATCTTTATGATTATGGGTTTTATCTTATTCTAGCCTTGGTTTGTAAGCTGTAGAAAATTTTTCTAGGTTGCTGAGATTCTCAAAGATCGTCCTTCTTGGTATCGCGACTGCCGTTGCCTTAATATACTGAGCGTAATCCCTACAGGCAATGGAGGGACGATAGAGCTTATTTACTTGCAGGTTTGTTGTGTTTCCCTATGTCAGATGTTAGTTATGTCGATACCATGTTATCTCAATTTATTTAGCTCTGTGCTCAACAAGTTGGTGTTTGCCATTTGTTTCTTTGTTAGACTTATGCTCCAACTACATTGGCATCCGCTCGTGACTTTTGGACATTGAGATACACTACAAGTTTGGAGGATGGCAGTCTTGTGGTATGTGTTGGGCATAATCCAAAACCTTGAGGCTAACCTTTCTAAACTCTACTTGCCTATCTTTGAAAGAGCCGGCTATAGCTACAACATTTACAATATTTTTTTTTCCGGCGTTTAAAATGCAGATATGTGAACGATCTCTGACGACAGCTACTGGTGGCCCAACAGGGCCTCCTGCCACAAGTTTTGTCAGGGCTGAAATGCTACCAAGTGGCTACCTCATTAGGCCTTGTGAGGGTGGGGGCTCAATGATTCACATTGTTGATCATATTGATCTAGATGTAAGCCTGAAAAACATTGGTCAATTAGAATTTTGATTTTTTTAAGTTACTGTAGTTGATCGTACCCTATCTATGCTCAGGCTTGGAGTGTCCCTGAAGTTCTGAGGCCACTTTATGAGTCTTCCAAGATCCTTGCACAGAAGACGACTGTGGCTGTAAGAAATTTAGAATCTGTTGAATTGTCTAATCTCCAGCATGACAATGTGATTTGTTAACAAGTCGGAGTTATCTGTGCAGGCCCTGCGACACATACGACAAATTGCACAAGAAACCAGTGGAGAAATCCAATACACTGGGGGTCGTCAACCTGCTGTTTTGAGGGCACTAAGTCAAAGATTATGCAGGTGAGAAGACAAGCCAATTGTTAAGTTAGAGATGCAGAAATAATATACTGCGCCCTGACACGGTTGTAATGAAGCTTTTGGAAATTCTATGCTTTTTACCTGGTTCGATTAGCCTTTTCAGAATTTCATCCTTGATATTTACTACAGGGGATTTAATGATGCTGTTAATGGATTTGTTGATGATGGTTGGACTGTTATGGATAGTGATGGTGTAGAGGACGTAACCATTGCTATAAACTCATCTTCGACCAAATTTCTCGGTTCACAGTACAACACTTTGTCAATACTCCCTACCTTTGGAGGAGTCCTGTGTGCCAGGGCATCAATGCTTCTTCAGGTATGTTGGAATTGCTATTTGGCCTTGATTTACATCGGTAGATTTAGAATCAATTTATCAATTGTTGAATAGGTTCTAATCTCTAGCCGATACTTCCGTTGTGTAGAATGTCCCCCCTGCTTTGCTTGTTCGTTTCCTTAGGGAGCATCGTTCTGAGTGGGCAGATTATGGGGTTGATGCATATTCTGCTGCATCTCTTAAATCCAGTCCATACGCTGTCCCTTGCGCCAGACCGGGTGGCTTCCCAAGTAGCCAGGTCATTTTACCCCTAGCTCAGACTGTGGAGCATGAAGAGGTAACAGTCTTGCCAATTTCTATTTCTATGCTGTCTGTGATCTCGGACCAATTAATCATGTTGTTTTAACTTGTCCTCTATAATCTAGTTTCTTGAAGTAGTACGACTAGAGGGTCCTGCTTTCTCCCCTGAGGACATTGCTTTATCACGGGATATGTACTTGTTACAGGTTAAGAACCCATACTCTAAACATTGAAAATTATGTGTTTCCCGACAGTTTTGGTTTACTGATTGTCTTTCTACCATTGCAGTTATGCAGTGGAGTTGATGAGAATGCTTCAGGTGCCTGTGCTCAGCTTGTTTTTGCACCTATTGATGAGTCTTTTGGTGATGATGCTCCATTGCTTCCATCTGGTTTCCGTGTCATTCCGCTGGAGCCTAAATCAGTTCAGTAACACCTATTATGCTTTGCTACCTCGCAATGAACCATTGACCATTGAAAAGTTTAATATTCTTACAGAACGTCTAGCTTTTCAGTCAAACTTCTGCGTACTACGTGTTCCTAACAATACGAAATTCATTTTTAACTGCTGAGTGTCTAAGTGAGAGTACGAGGATTATCTTCCGAGCTTATACTGAAATTTCTCTACTTTTATGATGCAGGATGGCCCTGCAGCAACTCGGACTTTGGACTTAGCTTCAACTCTTGAAGCTGGAACTGGTGGGACGCGTCCAGCTGGTGAAATTGAAGCAAGCAATTACAATCATCGTTCTGTCTTGACAATCGCATTCCAGTTTATTTTTGAGAGTCACTACCGGGATAATGTAGCTGCTATGGCTCGCCAATATGTGCGAAGTATAGTAGGCTCAGTTCAGAGAGTTGCAATGGCCATAGCACCCTCTCGACTGAGCTCTCAGTTGACGCCTAAACCCTTCCCTGGTTCACCCGAAGCTGTTACTTTGGCAAGGTGGATTTCCCGGAGCTATAGGTATGAGTTTTACAGGTCTTAGCTGTACTTTTGACATTCTCTTACTAACATGTTTTGTGTCATTACTTGTAACACCTAATATCAACAAATAACCTGTCATTGTAATTGAGTAGAAGAAACATATTACTTTTGACAACTTTTATACTTTGCTCCTTGAGGTCCGAAGACAAGTTTGATATGCACTCTCATTAAATGTTGTACGTCGTCTAACTATTTCCCAATTATGTTTCAGAGTGCACACAGGAGGAGACCTGCTTCAGGTTGATTCTCAAGCTGGTGATGCTGTTCTGAAACAGCTGTGGCACCACAGTGATGCAATAATGTGTTGCTCTGTCAAAATGAATGTCAGTAATGCTGCTTCTCTACTTGTTATGACCGATGCCGTTCCTCATTCAATACTAAGTATTTGTCTTAGGTCTTTCCTAAGGAAGAAACAAGATACCTAATTAGTTAATGTACTTGTTAATGCAGGCATCTGCAGTTTTTACATTTGCAAACCAGGCAGGTCTTGACATGCTTGAAACCACCTTGTTAGCTCTTCAGGATATAATGCTTGATAAGATTCTAGATGAAGCTGGTCGTAAGGTCCTCCTATCAGAGTTCTCCAAGATCATGCAGCAGGTTTGATTACTACCATCAAATTTTTGCTAATACATGGCATCGCATTCGTTCAACTTAGCAAACTTAAAAAGCAAACTAGCTTCGACAAAAAACATACCGAACTTTGATACTGCAGTATTTAGTACCTAACAGCGATCTTTTTGTGCTACAAGTACTCAATCAGTTATCGTCTATGTCTTTAATAGTTCACACAACAAAATGCTCTTGCTAGTAAATTACAAGAAATTTCTACAAATCCTGAATCTTATGATTGTTATCGTTGTGCTTTTAGGGCTTTGCCTATCTACCAGCAGGAATATGTGTATCTAGCATGGGGAGGCCAGTGTCATATGAGCAAGCTGTAGCATGGAAGGTTCTCAATGATGAAGATTCCAACCACTGCCTAGCTTTCATGTTCATAAACTGGTCTTTTGTTTAAGTTAAAACAGTTAATCTATGTAAGACTTTTGGTATTAGCTATCAACCTTCTAAGTTAATGTCGGTGCTCCGAATGTTTTAAATTAAGCTTGTATGACTATGTTGACAAGGATGTTTGGTTGGATCCCAACTCTATATCTGTTACAGTATGACATGTTATTCCTGTTATCTGCTTTGTCTTTGTCAACAGGTTCAATATTGTTGCTGTCTAATTAATTTTCTTGGATATAGTTAGGAAGTTAGTTGAGATTTCTATCATGTTGGATAGTGTTGAAACTAAATGTCTGTTTTTTGTGTGGTCCACCTTCTATTGATTAGGTGATTAGCCTAATTTGGTTAAGGCAATATTTGCTGGTTGCCAGTTGGTACCACTTGTGCTTGTTTCTTGAGTCATTTCACCAAAGGAGATTGTACTTTCTAACCGATGGTTTTTGAAATGTCAACTTCAATACAAAAATTGTTGATTTTCGAGTCACTTTGCAAGGGTGATGTGACCAACTTGTTTTTAAGTCAGATTGGGTTTTCTTGGTTAGATTAGGGGAGATGAAATAACTCTTTTTTTTTAATTTTTTATTGGAATATAAAGAATTTGTTTGAAGAAGTTTAATTTGTGTTTAGAAGCATTCAAAACTTAAAAGAGGATACGTCTCTAAAGTATTGCCATTACCCCTCTAATTATGGTGTTAGAGTTTTTTTTTTTTGGGTAAGCGGGTAATCTCGCAGCCGCTACAACCTCTGCTCTTCGGGTGAGCACTTTGTAGTGAGCACTTTGTGCGTACTGAGTAAACTTCCCCTCCCTTGTGTAATAGCCTGCAAACCACACAGGGATGTAAACCGCACCAGGCAAGCCTTGTGCGACAGGCTCAATCCCAGAAGGCATTGAGGGGAGAATCGATCCCGGGTAGGGCATTGAGTTATCCTCTTTTTGGTTGCAAAAATGTCATGTCTCTATTACGTAGGAGGGAATGAGAAGAGGGATAGTGAGATTTGAATTCATCCCTTGTGAAAAAGACTCAACGGATCAAAGATACCAGGGACTGATGACTCCCAAGAGTTGTTTGGCAGCTCGTTGTCGACTCATTTCTTATGCTGTGAGAATTACTTCAAACACTTTAACTGGTATTACTACTACACCATGTTTACGTTAGCTTGGAGTATTTCGTAGAAATAGGCTTTGCCCTCTGTGGATTGACTCTAGAGGTTTACATATAGATGATGTACTAGGTCTAGGAGTTACTATTTGCTTCATTTACTTCCATTTTTAATTGATTTTGAAAAGAAAATATGGCGAAAGTACTTCTCATACTTTTTATCTACGATTGCACGTCTTTGAAAACCTATTTCAATTTGTATATCAAGAACATAGACCGGTACTATATTTTCTCTTTTTATAATGATGTTACTTTCATCTAGCATAGATATTGAGTAACTTTATCGACTACAGCTTGCCATTGGTACTACACTATATTTGTTAAAATTAAAAGGCAGCCCGGTATATAAGGCATACTGCATTCACCTAGGGTCGAGAGAAGGGTAGCACTTTAAGGGGTGTGATGTAGACAACCTAACTTAATGCAAATATTAGTAGCTGTTTTCACGGCTTAAACCTGTAACTTATAGGCGATACCGAATATTTATTAAAATTGGAAACAAAATTATTGACCGAGGACCACAACATGATGAAAGTTGAAAGGACAGAGAAACAGTTTGTTGCAAGTTTGACAAATCTTTTTCCCCTCCCCCTGTAAAATGTTTCGGAAAGCAATGGGACAAGGGGAATTTTCAGTGCATATGAAATCCAATCCTTCCTGACTCGAAAGTCAAAACTATTGGGACCATCCAGTGGGGGACCCCTTAAATTTAAATGGTGTCATTCGACATAGCTTTGTCAAAATAATTCTGTTATATGTTATGTAATTATCCTCTGATCCCATTTTATGTGAATTTATTTTTTTTGGGTCCGTTCTAACAAAATTGATCTCTTTTTCAATTTGGTAACAATTTAGCTTAAACTTACAATTCTACCCTTAATGAAAAAATTTTATTACCACACAAATCTCTGGCCCCTTTTTGACTTGTTTAGGACCACAAATTCCAAAACTCTTCATTTTATCTTAAACTCCGTATTCAGTCAAACAGATTCACATAAATTGGAACGGAGGGAGTAATATTTTTTTGAAAAATAATATTTATTTTATTTTAATTTATGTGACTCTATTTTCTTCTTAATCTCTTAAAAAATGAATGGTCACTTTTTCAATTTGAATATAATTTAACTTTTAAATTTTTTATTTTCTTTGTAGTGACAAGTTTTATAGTCATACAAATATGTAGTACGTTTAAGACTACACGTTTCAATTTTTTTATTTTTTTCTTAAATTTTTATGCTCAGTCAATAAGATCATATGAATGAAACACGTGGAGTATGTATATTTCTAATAGGTCAATACTGCTAAAAAAAATAAAGTAATACAAAATAAATATCAATTTAGGGTACAAAATAAAATTTCAGAATTCCACGGTCTCAATGTTTAACCAAAATAGAATTTTAGTCAAAGCTAGAATTTAGAAGAACTCGGGTTACTGATAATCAAAGAAATGAATAAAAGGAAATAATTCTGAGTAGCAATATAATAATCAAGAAAAACAAATGATACCAATGTATATTTCAATAACTTTTCGTGTCCCTTACAACTGATCATATATCTCCTTTTTATAGGTACCTTTGAGAATGTACGTTATGCCCAAATCATAATGAGACTATTATGAATAATTAAAGACATTGAATGCTACGTTACACAATTATTACATTGAATATATATATTCCTTAACGGACTCAGCATTTAATACCCATTAAATGCTGTATCTGCATGCTTTTTTATAACCAGATTCATTCCTTCTGATGCCAGGATATAAATGATTTAAATAGGTACGGGCGCCGTGCTACTTATTTGATGTCCCGTGCCTCTTCCTCCTTCTTTGCTCGTGTCTGTTTTACAATTCTTGAATCGTGTCTAATTGAGATTTATTGACCATCTGACCAATCCACGTGTCCTGACACGTCACCATATATATAAAATACAATTTTCCCCAATACAGATAGTCCCCCCACTTTTCATTTATTCATCAGTTTGAATATTTGGGAAGTGAAATTCATTTAAAAGAGAATTTTTGTCACCATTAATGCTCTGACAGAATCGACGCTTCAATTGTCACTTCCATTTAATGCATTAGACATGTGTCATCCTCTTATTGGTTCTTCAGTTTTGCAGCACTTTCTTAGGCTTTCTTTTTGGCTTCCCTATTCACGAAGTGTCAGTTATCATTATTATAGCTCTTCCATCATTGTACTTTTTCCTTTTGTCGGTTAACCATTAGTATAAATATGACTTCTTTACTTGTCTTTTACCACATAAAGCGTGTCAAACACTTTAATTGTTCAAAAACCTCTTATTCTCTTCTGCTCTACTTCAATCTTCTTTGTCATGGCTTCATCAAACCCTAACCTTAGGAGAACCCCCATTTTAGATAACTTCCCCAATGCTCCTATTAGGCATAGAAGAGGGGGTAGACTGCGTAGCTTGGGGTCTGCTCGTGGTGGTAGCACATCCACTTCTTCTTCTAGCTCGGGTCGCTCTTCTAGGACTAGAGGTTCCCTTTCTCAGAGATCTTCTTCTAGGAATAAAGAATCCTCTGAGCCCCTTTGCGAGCCTCTAGTTGAAGAAATAGTCCCAACAGAAATTTCTTTTCACCATGATAGAGAATCTCTCAGGACCCAAGTTACCTCTTTAGATCGTGCTGACGCTTTCCCCACTCAAATCACAGATATTTTAACTCCCATAATTCGTAAGGATTGTTACTGGAGTGACGATTTTCCAATTATCATTCCTAACCCAAAACAAAGGATCACTTCTTACTTAATCGGATTCTCTTTTGTTTACACATACCCTTTCACTCTAGGGTTTAAACCGGCCATTGACCCGGTCATTCTAGACTTTTGCCGTTTTTTCAACGTGTGTTTGGGTCAAATTGGTCCGATTGTTTGGAGGGATGTCGCCTGCTTGAGGCACCTCACTAACCTGGCGGATGTTGAATTTACTTTTCCCCACCTAATTCATCTCTATTCCCCTAGGCTTTTTCGCAACGGCGTGTTTACCCTAGCAGCCAGGAGTAAGAGGGTTTAGTGAGCCCTGAGGACGATAAAGACCGTGGCTGGTATGCTCGGTTTGTTGCTGCCCCCACTGCTGGTTTGGTGGGTGAAAATAGCGTTCCCTTCCCTGAGAAGTGGAATTTTGCACGTAAGTGTTAAATCTTCCTCGTGCCTTTTCCTTTCAAGCTTTATCAACTTTTCTAATGTCGCTTCTTTTTCTTCTCTCAGCAACCATGGGTGTTATGGAGACTGTGCCCAACTTCCATGGTTGGGTAGGAAAATTGTTGAAGACCGCTCCAATGGATGGTAGGTCGTGGAAAAACCTTTCCAACCGTTACGGTTGGAAAGTAAAAACTCATGGTAAGAGTTTCTATTTTACCTTGTCTGTATATAAATATTTTCTTTGTTCTAACTTTTATCCTTCTTTTTATCAGGATTTGCTATTCGAGGAGTCACCGTAGAGGCAATCATAGCTTCTCGTGACTCTTTGAGTACTCGTACCTCTTCAGCCCAAGATATATTCTTGGGTTCTTTAAAAAGAAAAGCTACTGAGGAAGAAGATTCAGAGGAAGAAGATGAGGGTTCCCTGGTGATGAGACCACGAGCCCGGAGACGTATCGTCTCTGATGACGAGGCTGAAGTCTCCCCTCATCTGTCTCTTTCCGAGCCTGTTGTTACTCCAGTTATCATTCCTGATGATGACATCTCTCCTCACGACACTCGTGAGTCTATCGATCAATTTTTTGTTAGTGGTTTTGGTAGTGGAAACTTAGGACCTGTTCTAGACGAGCTTCCCTTATCTTC